TAAGAAACCACGACGGCGACGCCAAGGAAGACTTGGATTAAAAAATGAATTTCTACTCTTTGTTAGAATTTAAAAAAATGGTTGCAGGAGCTTACTGTCTCATACAGCGCCACAGCTCAACTTCAGCATGACGTGTAAAGTAGCCGTTGAGTTCCAAATGGAAATTAAAATAATTTGCCGTCGCGGTTTCGGTTCGCAGACGACGCACATTTTGGCGATTTCACGTTGGTGTTTTGCATAGGACGGCTAAGAAATGTACAAAGTTTGAAAACGCACGTGCTGAGCTATTGTTCTGCCAATTAGATCTCTTGTTTTTCCACGTCTAAGACGGCATGGACACATCGGCAATTAACAACACTAGAAGGGGACGAAGGGCCAAAGAACGTCATGGTAATTGTTTTGTATATGTGCCCCAACTAATTATGTCGGAGAGCGGGGATAAAGCTGTCTTTCTTGACCTTGTGTTTTTTACTGCTGACATTTTTGTTTTGATAATGTCTGAAATAGCCTCATCATCTTATCTTATATGATTCTGAAGGTTGTGGAAGTCTACTCTAGCGGAAATTTTCTTCTAGTGGAAGTAATTTCTGCCAACCTTGACGAAAATGGAACTATTATTACTGCTGTGGATATTAATATGCTGAAAAGTCACCACAGACGAAGGAGGCGCTCAACGAGATACGACTTTGAATTGGCAAGTTTTAAACCCAACAAAATACACCACAAGGTATACCACCTTTCAAACCTGAGAACTATGTCTCGGCTCAGTGAATTTTTCTGTATACAATCCATCTGAATCGTCTTCACCTTCCCTCATCATTAGTTATCACTACCCATCTAGCACCGGCACCTTTCATCCTTTAAAGGCTAATCAACCTTTGAGAGTTTTTCTTCTATTTAGTTAATTAATTAACCCCATTGGACCGCTGGTATGTCGGCTGATAATCTGAGAGATTTATTATTCAAAAAATAAATATATTTGGTTGAGGAGTGAAGCCTCCAGGGCAAATGTGAAAATTTTTGGTAGATAATTTCTCAGTCAAGGATATTATCAGCCTACACACCAAGAAGCTATTTATTTTTTATCTATTTTTTAACCCTCTTATCTGTATATGCAAAAGTGAACGAGAACGATTTGTTTGATATAAGTAGCTTATGAAAACGCGCAATGGGTGGGCTTTAATTGGTGATACTTTTGTTAGTCACATAAAGGCAGCGAAAAATGTGATAAAGCATTGGTTTTTTGTGAGATTGTATATTCCAATCACATACGTTCTGTGTAATTTCCAACTCAGTTCCTCCACAAAATACACTCCTGTAAAATTTTCATCTTCCTCAGCTGCTGTCAACAGGGATCGCCGAGCTGAAAGTCTCTTTGGGGATGTCCTTTACAATGAAAATGTTTCTTGAGATAGAGAAAAGTTGGCTCGGATTTGAAATAGAAGATGCTACTGCTGGTCTGGAGTTAGATGGAAGCTTAGATTTTTCTTTGACATTTACTGTTGGTGGGAAGCTAAGGTAGGCAATTTTATTTATCCCAGGTTAGATAAAATCAGTAAAATCTTCAATTTTTTTACAAAGCTGGCATTTTCCTTTTAAATTTGATTCTTGTGCGCCTTTTTTTTTTCGTTCCAAGACACTCGGGTTACGAATGAAAAAACGACTTAGCTTATAGGGTTTAATCATTCACCTTTTTTATTTTGTCTATAGGTATAACAAAGGTCTAAACGTCATGAGAGAAAAACAGCTCGGTCGTTCGATTTATATTCCCGTTGGGCCAATTAGAATTCCTGCTGGGCTTTTCTTAGGAATAACAGGACGTGCATCTATTGGATTATCTGTAAGTTGATGACGCTTTGTTGGTCGGTAAGTTGGAAATCAGTGCCTGGACGTAAGGATTGCGTCCTACCTGTACTTGTTGTCTTGAAATGATTAAGGACAAGCCAGGTACGAACCTGAGCCACAAAGACGATATTGAATTGATTACCGCAGTGCTATGACCATGTAGCTTGCAGCAGCAGTGACTGCTTTCAACTGGTTACGACAAAATAATTTGGATATATCAACAGAGTTGAAATGGCAAATTGGCTACCGTAACGATTACAAAAGCTGACGTTTCGAGCGTTAGCCCTTCGTCGGAGCGAAGTTACGACAAAAATTGTTTACTATGTACAAATACTTGAATCGATTTTAACTCTTTCTTTCTTTCTCTCTCTCCCTCTCTTTTTTCTTTTTTTTTTTTTTTTTTTGATTTGATTCCCAGGGAAAAATTTCTCGTTCATTATCCGTGAATGGAGTAGTGTCTCTTGGAGGGGAATGCCGTTGGAGTCGTGGAAGTTGTTATCAAACTGCTAATACTGTAAGGGAGGAGAAATACATAGTAATTTCTAAGTTTACAGATCATTCAGGTGCTCAATGTACACTAAAACGCCCTCCTACAGCGGCTTGTACGTCACCAAATGTCGCGGGGAAACCAGCTATCAAGCACACTATGCTCGACGAAAGGCGCCGAGACTCTAAAACTGTCCTTTTTTGCTTTACTTAATAATTCGGTTCTCCAATACGCAATTCTACTTACTTCCAATTTTATTTCCTTCTGCGTAACTCTGGTCAACTTCTCAGGCTCTCGCTCTTTGATTCTCACTGAATACCTCTCACTGACTTGTTCTGATAGGTATTCACTTCAACTACAGAATTCTGTCTTCACAGCTCTGCACAATGTCCACATTTAATTATCTAATCTACGCTCCTCTCTACGCAGTAAACTCTAAAGAACATGCTTATATTATCATTATTGATAGGATATGGGGGGACATGCCAGCTGGCGACCTTGGGAGATTAACCATTTGTTCAAGTCAATGTTAGGACACTAAACGGAACAATTTTTCGAGAATTTGGAAGTGTACAACAAAATGCTTAATCATAATGCGTCCGATCAACTGAATCAACCTCTGACTGCGCGTGCGTGGGTCCAAAGCGAGGGCAGCAGACAAACTAGGCACACCTCCTTGAAAGTTAGACAAGACAGTCATAATTCGGAAACTTATCATGATAGCTTAAACCTAAACAACCTCGGAATTCTAATCCATAAAGTTATGTTACTACATTTTAAATGTAAACTGACTAACTGACAAACTAGAGTAACTAAGTATTTCATAACGCAAGGATCGCAACATCTCCAACTTTTCAAAAAAAATTATTTCTAAAATCAAGGGATTTCTGAGCGTTTCTGGGATTAGCATCGCTGTCCGAAGGGTTTTCTTAAATCACTGATTAAATCAAGAAGTATGGTATTAATTGTTGAGGGTTTTTGCCACTCGCTTGGACGAATTAACTAAAGGTAGCAAGACTCTGTAATTTTCTTCTTTATTCTCTTCTGGAGAGCTACTACAGCAACGCTCTATGCATCTAATAATAATCATCACCATGCTCTAGCGTGAGGAACCAAAGCTTTAAGTAGGAGAATCGTAAATCTGTTTGGGTTAGCTGACCGTGAGAGTTTCCGCAGTGTATTCGTTGTTAGGCAAAGGGGGAAATTGAGTGGCTCGCTCCGAAGTACTTGGCGAGCACCAAAGAACCAATCAAACGCCAATGATTGAGCTGCATGCGAAAATTACGCGCACAAAACAGGATCTCAGTGTGGGTAAAACTCAAGGTCAGTTTTACCAACCCAAACATGACCACCTAGCAAACTAATTATTCTCAACCATAACAAGCGATTAAAATGTCTGGCACGGTAAGAACTGAGCCAAGTTCATCACACACTAAAAATAAGTGATCAAAACTATAAATTTATCAAAATAACACGAAGGCGTAAAAAGGCGAGACTCAATAAAACCAAAGGTAAACCTAAAAATACTCGAAATAGCAATCCCTTAAAATACTCTACAACACAATATTAAAACTGCTTTAGCCTCTCAGTTGCAACAATGCCTTTATACATTCGTCTTCTTAAAATTCTTCTTGCCACTAGAACAGTCTCCCTCCTGTTTAGTAGATGAACGACTACAATTCTCACTTTGCATCTAGGAAAGAAAAGCTATTTCTTCAGCTTGTATGGTAATTTTAAGCTAAGCAAAAAATTGTTTGCGTTTACAAGAAACGTGAAATTAAAGCTATAATTAAATGCCGTGTGATTGTACCTCTGCAAGTGAGCGCCAGTTAGTCTTTGCAACCTCGCCTCGATATTTGAAATTCTGTTTCCTTTCTTTGTCCTTTTCCTCCTCCTCCTTTCTTTGTTCTGTCCTTCTCTTCTTTTCTTCTTCTCCTTCCTCTTCTTGTTCCTTACCTCTTAAACACTTAGTTTTTTTATTTCTTTTCCTCTTAAGGAAGATCAAATTTTATCTTTTTTTGACACATCATCAATATAGGTTAGTCTTGGGATGGACAGGAGCAGTCCAGGTCCGCAACTGAAGGCTGGTGCTTCCATCGAAATCATCGTAACACCAAGAATTTCAGTGAAAATGCCAGCGTTTTCACAAACGAAATCTAAGGCAATTAAGATATCGCTTTCCAGTTTATTCGACGATTTAGGTAAGATTGGCGATCTAGCCCTTTTTTTTTTCGTCTCTTATAATTTTATAATAATTCTTCGCATTTGTTTTACTTCGGCGCTTAGGTCGTTCTTTAATTCATCTCGAACTCAGCCCTAATCATCAAACGTTAACCCTCTTTCAGTGCCATGAAACCAGTGCCCAACGGCCAGTCAGAACTGCCGAAAATATCTCAAGGAGCCAATCAAAACCAACCGATAGGAAAAGCCAAGTTTCGTACGCGTCGCGTTCCGCGAGTGACCAAATAGTGTTTCATTTCATCTTTCCCCCTTACTGGTTTAGGGGTAATTAATGCGATATCATTAACCAAATACGGGCAGAATAAAACAAAACCGATGTCATTCCGATCTTCTTTTGACGCTAATTTGTAAATTGCACACCTTTACTAGCCGTTTTCCCGGTTCGTACTGTGAGTTACACACGGAGTAATTTCTGTCCTGAATAATGGTCTAAGCGCGAGGCCATAAATTCGAACGGAATAACTGTTCCATAACTTACAGTACGGACCGAGAAAACGTGGTTGGCCTGGTCTAATAAAAAAGGTTGAAACTATATAACTTTTTTCAGCTCAAGCTGCTTTTGAGTATGTGGATCTTTCCTTGGCCCTTTTTGTAAGTGTACCTTTAAAAGCCGGTCTGTCGGTACGTCTTCCCACATCACAATGTACTGGAAAAAAGCCCGCTGAATTGGAAAACTTCTACGAAATTTCCGGCGTAAATCTTGGTGTCTCGATTGGATTTCTTGAAAAACATTTAACGCTTGAGCTGCCTTTGGGATATTCTCAGAGAAAACGTTATTGGTAAGGAATTTGGCGTTTTATGCCAAAATCTTGACTCCTGTCATAATGACATAATGACAAAGTGACACAAAAGAAGTAACTATGATACACTCACCTTTTTGTGAAACTACCTGTCTAAAATAAACGAAATAAAGCCGCAGGATATAAGAGAAAGAAATCCATTCTTCCTGCAAATGAAAAAAATGAGGAGGATCTTCCGTAACGTAAATGAGCTAAAAGAAATAATATCAGATACACGTGAAAAACTTTCACGTTTGTTGTTACAGCTTTTTCAGGGCCTTAAATCTTTGTATAAAGCTATAGTTTATATAATTTATTGCATCTATTTTGAAATCACTGGTGGTCCCTGTGATCTGATTGGCTCTAATTGGTGAGATTTCCTCGCGAAACACACCATTTTTTGCTTTAAATCGCATAATTTTACGCTTGACTGAGTTTTTGACACATGACGTCAAAGTCTTTCTGTTTTGCATACAAAATAAGATGTAAAAACGTTTCCGCTTCCGCTTTTTATTTAAAAACCGGCTTAGTACTGCATCAGTAAAATATTTGAATTTACCAAGTCCTGTATTTGGGCAATTTCAAAATGGATGTAATAAAGTGGTAATTGAACCTCGTGTCGTGCAATTTTGTATAGGTAATCACATGATTTCGAGTGCAATTTGGAATAAATAAGCACGAGTAAATGTTTTCAAAGACTAACAAAATTGCATGAGCCAGTAGGGCGAGTGCTTATTTATTCCAAATTGCACTCGAAATCATGTGATTACCTATACAAATTGCACACCACTCAGGTCAATTACCATTATAAATATGATTATCATTATTATGATTAGAATCATGATTATAATCATTGAGCAAAATGGATTGAGCATCTTGTGAATCTTGTGCATCTTGTTTTTAATTGTAAACCAGAGTGAGCAAATACATAGGTAGACTGGGTAGATAGCTAACGGAAGTTTAAAATATAAGTAAATTCGGACTTGGCTTGCATATCTATTAATCCATTTATTCACCCTTTAACTGCTCTTTCCTAGGGATTGTATATGTCCAGTTCAAAGTGAGCAGGTAAGCTAACATGAATTAACATCATGACGCAAATGATTTAATGCCGTCTTTATGAATTATACCCTTTAATTCCATTCCACCTGCCTTTTTTCCTTTGAAGAAAGCGTGGTTCATGCGGCGGTATTATTTTTTTTTCCATCTACTTTAAAACAGGCATGTGCAGGACCCTCTTCACCGCATCCGAGTCCACCTGAGTACAAAAACCCGACTCCTCTTCCTCCTTCGCAAAATAAAGGCGAGAGTGAGGGTGAAAATACGGACGGAAACACAAAAGGAAATACGGGTGGAAATACAAAAGGAAATACGAAGGGAAATACAGGTGGATACACGCTACTGTCAAGTCGGTAAGAGAGCTGATTATCCGGTCTGCATTCACTGCCGTTACTTACTTAGTCGTATAACGATGTTTCGTCTCAGTTTAGAAAGTGATGTGCTCAAATGATTGCGTTGCTTTCAAAAGATTGATTGAAACTTTGTTGAAGATGGAATTAGTCAGAAAAATATTGCAATTGAGTATTTCAGTTGTGCGAAATTGAATGTTCATATTCCACGCCTCAGATTACAGAATTGGCTGCATAATTTTTGTCATGCACACAGACAGTTGATCCACTATCCGTGCTAAAACCTATTGGCACACCCACCCACTCACCTATCCACCCACTCACCCACCCACCCACCTCCTGATCCACCCACACACCCATCGAGCCACCGACGAACGGACGGATGAACGAATAGAAGGATAGTTAAACTAAGTGAATGACCGATTGGCTGGCCAACTGACCAACCTGCCGATTAAACCCAAAAGCAACCGAATAGCTGACTTTAACTGACTTAGCCGACTGGCCGAGTTGCCGGTCGGTTGGGAGGGGGAGAAGGTTTGTTGGTGATTTGATGATTTACTTTCTCGGAAACAGCAAGATAAGAGGACTTCCATGTGGAAGAGGGCCTATCTGTGCTGGAAGTCGAACGGGCCCCAGTTGCACACAGCCTGATTTGGGGCTTCGTACTGGTATGTAAGAGTCAAATAGAGTGTATGAAAAAAAGTTTGATTACTTGATGATAAAATTTGGTCTAATCTTGCTGGAATGAAGTGCCATAAGATTGACGCCTGGAAAAGCTTTTGGAAGAAGCTCTCAAATAATTACTAAATGAATAACCACATCTGTTGCAAGTTGCTTTTGTTTAGATGTATATATATATATATATATATATGTATATATATAATTCTACAAAAAGAAATACACTATCAACCAAGACGATGAACCAGATTGTTTAATCTACATGTATGTCCATATGAATACGCTACATTTGTATAGATCGTGTCGATGGCCTTTCTTCTGTCAAAATCATGACAATTTTCCCCGTAGGCTGTTCAGGTAACGGAAGACCTGTCATAACCTCGAGGTGTGGAGCGCGGTGTCGCTGTTCAGGCGGATGGGGAGGTAATTTTTGCAACCAGTTAAATGCAAATGGTGGAGGTGACCCACACTTGGAGACTTTAGATGGTGAGTAGACACGAAAAAGAGATTCTACATTCAATCATTTAGGAGTTTGAGATAAAAAGAAATCAGTGACCATGAGAGACGTCCAACTAGTTCCTCACCTCATACTCTTTCCAATAAAAAGGTAGATTTTCGTCAATTACAAAGGTCTTCGTCTGTAAATAAGAGCATTATTTAATTTATTAGCTTCGCCAACAGGCAGGGACCCCGCAACAGCTTGCGCCAATTACTGCGAGCCCTAGTACCCACCCATCCCA